CCTTTATTTGATAGTTTACTTAAAAAATAGATTCATCTCTAACTATTGTGAATATTACTCCTATGATCATGAGTCATAATATTTATTTTGATTTTTTTACTATTTTAATTTTATTACGTAGTATTTTATAATTTTTAATTTTTAATTTTTTAATTCTTTTTTAATTTTTTAATTTTCAATTTTTTAGTTTTTAAATTTTTAAGTTTTTTGATTTTTAAATTTTTAAATTTTTCATTTTTATTTTTATTTTTAAATTTTTCAAAACTTTTTATTTTTTACCTTTTTTATATTATAACGTTATGTCCATTCAGGTAGGAGATGGATAGTTTGTGGTTATCAACATGTTTCCTTCGAAATACCCCGATTTGGAGGGTTTAGAATGGGAGGAAGTAGAGGATTTTGGAAGTCTTCCACTTTCCTTCCCTTCCCTCCTATTTCCTTCAACCAAACACACACAAAACCCTTACTTCCCTCCCCTCCCCTCCGAAATCCTCCAACCAAACATGACCTAATAATGATTTGTGTTGACCAAGTGAATATGAAATGAAACAATAACAGGGCACGGAGGGAGTAAGTCTTAAGATATGATTTCTGGTAAAGCCAACCACACATCTTTTACTTTGAGCAAAACTTACATATTTATTGTTGCTTATATTTATTTTCATACACAGAGAATGTGTTAGACATTTAGAGAATAATTGTAATGGAGAATTTTTGATGAAGTTGTATTCCACCCCAATTTGCAATTGAGACTATTCTGCTATTTCCAATTACGATGTTAATTATATAAGTTATTGGAGAATTTTTTTATGCTTAATGTAGACCTAAATTGTGTTTATTTTATATTTTAGGGACTAGATAAGCCCTGATACTCTTTTTTAGTGTTCTTTATGTTTCGGTCCTTTAGTAGATCGTTATTTTTTTGTTGCGGTTATTTCAGTCGGATATTGTTTTGCTCGTGCTTTTTCTTGCTTTCAAAATTATGATGTAGATTGGGGTGGATGATGAAAAATCTAATTCGATCACTTTTGGCTCATTTGTGTATGTTGTGGGATTGACGAGTTATATTACATTTTGGAAGGTGATTAACTCTAAGAATCCGTTTGGTACTTCACACATTAAAATTTTACATGTAAAATGTTTGCGTGCGAAGTGTAGGGCTGTAAATAATTTACATGTAAAATGATTGCGTGCGAAGTGTAAGGCTGTAATTAATTTACATGTAAACTAATAATACATCGTTTGACTATCGATGGAATCTATTACAACGCAAACTCTATAATACACTATAATATGTATAGGGTGGTGGATATTCTAGTTAGGCCATAGAAAGGCATAGGGTTGACTGGTTGGTCAAATGAAACCCAATTACCGGTATCGATAATTTACTGGATAACAACCCAAAATGAATTACGGGGACTTCTAAATAAAGTTGGGGAATGTACGTATATTCATTCTAAAGGCCCATAGTGATTTGGAACATGTGATATATTTTATTTGGCCCTACAAAATAAAATAGAATTAAAACAGTCTGAGAATTACAACTTTTGTTGCCGATTGTACAGTTCGGGGCTTAAAGGGATGACCTCCCACATGTATGGGGTCACCCCATAATTTTGGTCACACAAATCAAGGATTTATGAGGATGGTGTGATAGAGGAGAATGAGAGAGGGGTGTGGAGTGAAGGAAAAGGCATCAAATAAAACATGGTGGACCTCCGCCCCACACCACTTTTGCTATTGGGACAAAAAGGAACACCCACCCTCCTTTTTGTTGATATCTCTAACACTTTCCCTTGATCATTTCGGCCAACCCACACCAATCAACAGCAATAAACTCTCCATCCATCATCTCCATTTTTGAAGGGAGCGCAAACAAGCAAGAAGCTCAAGGAAGAAGAAAGAGTTGCACAAATAGAGAAAAACCTTGGGAATAAAGGTGAGAAGCTCTTTAGTGTCTTTTCTTCCATCTTTTTATTATCATATGACTTATATATCATATGAATGATCCCTAGAATTGTTCTACATGTTTAGAAGTGTAACATGTGGGGTTGGATGGTAGTTCTAAGTCCAAGAATGGACTTAGAAGCCAAAGTGATCGATTTGCCGGAATATAACCTTTTAGAGGTTATTTATGTTGATATGAGATTTGTGATATTAAAACCATGTTAGGAACTTGTCTAAGGAGTTTCTAGTGCTTTCACGAAGTTGAAAGAGTCACCGGAATTGTCGCCGGAGTTCAACGAAAATTCGCCGGAGTTCAACCTAGGAGGGTGTAACTTCATAAAGCTCATTCGAGGTGAGTGGATGACTTAATGTCTTGTAAATTTTGAAATAAGTATGAGATTACCTAAATAAATGCTATACGTGTTCATAATGATGTTTAAAAGAGTTTAAGCATGTGTTTAGCCAAGATGATTAGGCTTATATGAAATGAACTACAAAGATGTGCATGAAAATGATTAGAAAATGTTAACGGCCCGTTGACTGCGAATAATACACTGAACCGGCGCTGGTTTAGGCTATAATCGGCGCCGGTTTGAGCACGGCTCTCCCAATTTATTAAAATAAATGGTGAACCAACGCTGATCAGGGCTGAACCGGCGCCGGTTTGGTGCTGTTTTACCCACATGTTGACTTATGTGCATGGTTTTGAATGTGATGTTATGTTTAGGCAATAAGACTTGGTTTAGTCTTGATTATTGATTATGATGTAGACCATAATCGGGTAAGGTGCATGGTAGATCATGGGTTCGGGTGGAGTACCCAAGGGTCAGACGGCGCCCTCAAAACTCATATATTTGGGTGGAGTACTCAAGGACCAGACGGTGTCCTCAAAACTCGGAATATAATAGCGCGAAGAACCCAAGGATCGGGCGGTATCCTCAAAACTTACGTATTCGGGTGGAGTACCCAAGGCCCGGGTGGTGCCCTCAAAACTCGGGGCATAACTGTGTGGTGTACCCAAGGATCGGGCGGTGCCCTCAAAACTCACAGACAACAATTTAGTACTGCAGGACCTGGCGGTGTCCTTATGATACTTGATTTGGACCAGAAGGAGTCCTATACACTCATAGGTATATGGGTGGGTTGGGATTTTAAGTCAAGAACATTGACTACTACTATTTTTTCAAATAAACAATGACCTACATGTCATGTATTTCCAAGTGTATATATACTTATATGTATTTCATAACTCGGCAACTGACCCCCGACACTTGCCCCACTGATTTTGGTGGTTTGCCTTCCGGGTTAAAAAAAAAAAATATACTTATATGTATTTCATAACTTGGGGAAAAAGAATATATGTGTATGTATCACCCTATGTTTGGGTCTTATACTTGAAACGTTAGTTATGCTACAGTCAGCCTACTGCTCGCTCGGTTTTCCCATACTGACCCCTTCCCCCCCCCCCCCCCCCCCCCCCCCCCCCAATTTCAGGTTGAAGCTAAAGCTTGCATGCTATCCGCACCCTTGCTCGGTGAAGTGATTCAAGGAAGATGTGGTTCGTGCTTCCTTTACTGTTTTAAAACTATAAACTATGTTCATGGATATTTATGTAATCAAGACATTGTTTTAGGCCTACGAGCCCACGTTTTGGTCACGTGTGATCCATGATTGACTATTGAATATTTTTACTATTCTTTCAATCCAAATTGTGACGTTGTTATGCATGTTTACTTACTGAGTATGGCATGGACTAGTCATGGACCCGGTTCGGGCCGCCCGGCCCGGGACCGGCCCGGCCCGCCACTATGCAGGCCCGGAACCGGCCCGGTTCTCGGGTCCGGGTCGGGCCTAGGCCCGGTGGGGGGGGGGGTCCGGGCTCGGGCCTTGTATGATGATGCATCCAATCCCCCCCCCCAACCCCCCCAACCCCCCAACCCCCCCCCCCCCCAAACCGGTCCTAAACATCAAGCCCAACTCAATAAAGCCCCAAAAAGAGAGACGAACAGACTACTGACTATTTACACCCACATAGATAAACGAGGCAAACGGCTCTACTGCAATTAAGCACAAACCAAATACAATGACAAGATAGTAAAAAACTTACAAGACTAAGCCAGGAAAAGAAACCTCGAATGTGATTAGCTAAGGCGCAAATTATTTATACCCACACGCACAACCCTTGAATTTTCAATGGTCGTGTGGCAGCAAACCTGAGCGGAATAGAAGACCACCAGACCTTTCAGAGCAAGGCAGAGGGCGTGGGAGAACCGCGATAAGTAAAGCTAAAATAGATGAATGACCCAGTCAAGCTCCGAGGCTGATCTTTTCCTTTCCCCGTTTATTAGGTCTCCCTAAGAACGAAACAGTCAGCAGATGCCACTTATGTCTGAGTTAACTGAAAAATAGGTTCTACTTTCTAGAAATATTATCCAAAATGGGACTAAAAAAGTTTGGAAATTCCAAAATAGGACATTCATGTTTTTATTCCCAAAATAAGACTAATTACTGTCATGTTTTGGCAGTACCAGACTTCAAACGTAGCAGTATTTTCCAAATTTGGCAGTAATTAGTCATATTTTGGGAATAAAAACATGACAGTCCTATTTTGGAATTTTCAAACCTTTTTAGTCCCATTTCGGGAACTTTCCCTACTTTTTAAGACGCACCCAATGTGTTTGACACAAATCAAGGGTACCAACCCTCATTCCTAATTATAATGTTGTTAGATTAAGCTTTTGATTTCATTCTTTGAATTGTGAAATAATTAAAAGAAATAAGAGTGAAGTTAATTTTTTGACTGAATTGATTAATTTTATTACTAGGGATTATTTTAGTTCTTTTCTTATAATGTTGCATTACATTATTAATAAAATATATTTTAATTTTTTTGCATATTTCAGCAGATTTAGTTAATCCCGCCACTTGACTTAGAGTTTGAAGATATTCATCCAATCCAGTCAACTTCAATGTTATAAATTTGGACCAAAGTATCTTAATTTTATACTTTCTCCATTCTTAAATAAATGCAACAGTCAACATTTCACATTTGTCGAGGCACAACTTTGACCATTAATATCTAAAATTCCCGATTAGTAAAAAAAAGTTTAAAAAATAGATTTTGAAAATTTATAATGAGAAAAATTTAACAATATTTTTTTCAAATATATATATTATTACATTAATAAATAAAACGTAGTCAAAGTGGAACATGTGAATAGTGCAAAAAGTTCAACGTTGCATTTAAAAGAGAACGGAGGTAGTATCTAATACTCTTCACATGATAGAAAATAATTGAAATAATGATATACCCCCTCGGTGCCTTACAACCTTGTTATCTTTTCTTTCCCCCCCGAAAATTATGTCACTTTTTAAGTAATTAATTTATAGTTCTTATTATTTCTCTCGCATCTACACAAACTCCAACCAAACTGTTTTTACTTTATTATTTCATGTGTCGATCAAGCTTGTCAAAATTATTGGACAAGGAGGAAGTATACGAGTCTTAATTTTAATTTTTATTACATACGTAGTAATAGATAGTAAGTCTCTAACAGCACGATGATGAAACCCAAGGTCCAATAGGCATTTTATCTTCCTTCTGATATTAAGCCCATCCCTCGATACCCAAATTCCTCTGCCGCTGTGGTGAACAAATCTTCATCGAAAATAGATGAAATACGTTATTGGGGGGTCTGAGTGCATGGAGAACAATTACGAAGTCTTTCCACTTTGAGAGGAAGAAGGGGAGGGAGGAGGTCAACTCAAAAACGGCTCCATGGTATCCATATCCATATGGCCATGTTTTCAATCCTTGTCGCGAGCAGACGTGTATGCCTTATGTCGTTGATTCCTCTTAGGGGAGGCTTCCAATCTCACATGTTTTGCGTATTGTGATATCATTTGTATGCCTTACGTCGCTGATTTGAAACAATGACTGTAATGATTGACTATGTTGACTGAATGTGTGTTTCATTCCTATGTGTGCCTCATTCTTATGTGTGTTTGTTGACTCGTGATGATGGGGCTTGCATGAACTAAACATATTGATGATCATTTATAGATTTGTGGAAAGTTGCGTGATAAATGTTTGTGTTGATTTGTAAGGGCATTACTAATGGTTCGGAGAGCATCTAGAAGTGTTACAAGTGGTGTCAGAGCAACTCTACGACGACACTGTGTTAATTCATTAGATATTGGGCGGACACTTAACAAAAGAGAATTATGGGTGATGGTTGTTGCCGGACAGCCTGGCCCGCAAGGACATCTTCGCGGCTCCCATCACCGTTGGAAGATAGTGTGATGGTTGTTGCCGTGACGCTGTCATCACCGTCTGCAGGAAATCTGTATCACAGCGTCCCGTTCATTATGAGTATAGTTTTTAGAAGCCTTCATTATAATGCCTGCTTTACAAAAAGTTCTTACTCGCTTTGAAATTCAGTAAACTCGCTTGACCTCCCATTGATGATCAGTTTTGACATATCGAATGAAGATGACACAGATAGGGTGCCTGTCATGAGTAATTAATTTTTTTTAATCGTACAATTTTGATTTTTGCTCTAATAGCAGTAGTCATGAACAGCACTACAAAACCGATTACCTTGGTATCTCTTTGGCCTGTACAATTGAAAAATTACATACACAGGCACACCAACATTTTCGGTCACAAACTCCATATACTGGTCTATGTACTTGTTCCACAAAACACATCTGAGTCTGTTCCCTCTGCAATTTATAGAAGTTACTTAACATTAAATTTTGTCGTGCTCCAAAACCATTTCTCTCTTAAGTTTAGATGGTATGAGAATGTTTAAACAAAACTCACTCAGGGTCTCCTAATGTCAACTCCATCATTCTTTCAGTTCGGCGCGCCGCTGATGATGTGGTTTTGAACACCGCTCTTGCATATGACTTTCCCAATGACATCTACAGCCGAATTTTAGCATAAGATATTTATTTCTGCAGATTAAAACATAAAATTTTGGTTGTTCTCACCAATCAATTTTTTGTCGTTGATGACGCGTTGAGCCTGCAACATGTCAAATGGCTGAAAGTCGTACACCATCATTGGCAACTCAGTCCTAGTGTCCTCGGTGAATTGAGTTTTGCTGATGAATTGAATCAGATAAGGATGGTCACTTGTTTTGACAGTTTGGTAGTTGTCCAGGACCAAAAACGTCCTTAGAGCGTAAATTTTGTTTTCCTTGATCATGGTTTTGTAAAGCTCGACCTGTGGCCTTTTTATGATAGCGTGAATGCGGTCTCCCTAAATATCAAAATGTAAGCATTGTGAACATAATAATAATAATGATTATAATAGTAATATTATGATAATATGATATTTTATGTTTTTGATAGCAAAATTATAATCTGTGAATACACTTAGATTTTGTAGTAGACACTGATGTACATGTTCATCATGCAACACCATCTCCAGTGTCCCCCCCCCCCCCTTTGAGTGTGGTGGGACTTCGTATGCCCTGACCACCCTCACCCTTAAGGCCCAAGTGGTCTTGGTATGATCAACATCCTTGATCAGGGACCACATGCCTCTTTGTGTTGAGGATCCTGTCATGGCTCAAAAATCACTCAGGAAACTTAAGAATACAAAGAATGTAAAAGAGATTAGCTTGGCTGTGGTGTGGATTCTGAAACCTGCAATGGGTATTTATATTGGGAAAGGGTGAAAGTGCTGTATAACAATTTATGTAATAACCATTGGTCCGCACACACAATCTGTACTTAGAGATTTGATAGTACATACATAATATGTGAAGTTGCCTTTAATTAATATAGTTAGTACATTGCATTTAATGTTGTGTGGCTCAAGAAATGCAAGAAGACCAAATGTGTGGCCTGGGATTTTCGAGTACTATTCTTCCCCGTTTTTTATTATAAATAAAGCACTCTATTCAACTTTAATTCATTGACCCAATAATGAAAAAAAGTGATTTTTAGAGCTGCAATAGACAACATTATAGTTAGTACATTGCATTTAATGTTGTGTGGCTCAAGAAATGCAAAAAGTTTAAATGTGTGGCCTGTGGAATTTCGAGAACTGTGCTCCCCATTTTTTATTATAATTAAAGCATTTAATCAACAATAATCCACAGCAGCAAAAGATAGCATTTACAATAAGAGATGCGGCCTGATCGATTTTGGACCCATTTTTAATAGATCCGACCCATTACTACTGCACAGTGTTTTGGCGGGAACACTGTGCAATTTTCATTTTCCCTTTGTATAATAAAAGATTGTCTATTTAGTCATTTTATAATTTAAAAAAATATTTGAATAGGGCTTTTAGTATAACGATATACCGGTATACCTTTTGTTTTCAAATCATATACCAATATCATACAGAAACAATTCAATATAGTATCATACCATACCAAAAATGACGGTATACCTTTTGTTTCGATACGGTATACCAAAATTCCAGTATTTTTTCCCACCTTGTTTGGGGTATTTTTTTAATAATTCATTTAACCGATTTCTCTTTTAGAAAATTTTAATATTTTTATGATCTAACAATTGGAAGTAATAGTTGATACTAACAAATAAAACATTGAACTGTAAACATCATTTTCAGTCAATAATAAAGTTGTCCATACGGGATTCCCGTCAGGCCACCCTATATATAACAAGAAAATTATATCATAGCAAAATTAAAAAACATAGCATCTATGCGTGTAGATTTTTTACATATATATAAACATATTTTGAGAAAACTGTCAAATAAGCCCCCTTACTGACATGAAAAAATCAATTGAACCCTCCAACTCAATTATCATCCAATTGAGTACCCCAAGTTCAAAAAAAAAAACCAAATCTGCCTTTTTAAAGGCCAACCACCGGTTCCTCCGTATGCATACACACGTGGCAAATCCTTGATTTTCTTTTTCATTTTTCTTCTCTTTCCATTTCTTTCTTCTAAATCCTGTCTCTGTTCGTTCCCATCCATCTCTGCTGGGCAGATCAGGACACCCCTCCTTGCTCCTTTCTTCGTACGTTTAAGATACACAAACACACACACACATATCAATCAATCCACAAAAAAGACACACGAATAAACTATCAACAACCACGAAACTAAGCTCCATTGCTCCAATTTCTTCTTGCCTAAACAAATCAAAATCCCAATAAGCATGATTTTTAGCTTTTAGATCCAATTATGAATTGAATTTAACTTTGAAACGAGAAAAGAAGATGAAGAAACGAAAAAAGAAAATACAAGAGATAAGGGAACGAGAAGGTGATTAGGCGGAAGTGGAAGGCGGCGGCGTTAGGGAGTGGAAACCAACCGGCGTTAGGGAGACAGTCATGTTAATTGGAGTATTTTTCCTGAAAATTTCATTTAGGCACAAACACTGTGTAATGAAATCTCTGTGCGGGCTAGAAGCCTTGAATCACGGGCGGTGGCCTTTTGACGGTGGCGACCAGCTAACTAAAGAATATGTAGTGTGGGTGACGAACCAGGAGAAGAAATAGCGGAGAACCACAGAGGGAGGAAGGGAAGAAATAGGGAAAAGAAAAGAAATGGGAAAAGAAAAGAAAGAAAAAGAAAGAAAAATTAAAGGTTATGCCACATCACATGCCGTATGTGCATTTTTACCTCGAACCGGAAGATAACCGGTCAAAAAGCCAAATTTGATTACTATATAAGTGTTCATGGGTCTAATTGGATGATAATTGAGTTGGGGGGTTCAATTGACTTTTTCATACTAGTAAGGGGGCTTATTTGACAGTTTTCTCTTTAATGTACATCAGAGTATGTCCAATGGTTCGCTTTAAGGACTTACTTGCAATTTTAAAGCTAATAGCTTATCATTGGAGCATTTCTTTTCCTTTTGATTGAGAAAGCTAATTAACCTAAATGAGCTACTAGCTTGAACAATTAGAATTATTAAATATAGCATTATTAATAATAAATGAAGATGAAAATGTTATAATTAACCATTTGAGTACATTCCCTTTTTGTTATAAATGCTTATGTGACTAGTCAAATAATGAGGATAAGAGCATCTCCAACGGTTAGCTAATTGCCCTCATAACTTGACTAGCCACGTAAGTTTTTCTAGTATGATGTTATATTTAATATTCTCCTTGCTCAAGCTAGTAGCTCATTTAGGCTAATTAGTTTTCTCAAGCAAAAGGAAGAGCAATGCTCCAATGGTAAGCTAGTAGCTTCAAAATTGCAAGCAAGTCCCTAGAAGCAATCACTGGAGATGCAACCAAAATACCACACTAAACAAACCCATAAAAATGGCGTAAATACCACGCTATTTCGATACTCAAAATACCCATTACTGAGCCAACTATTAGAATTGGCTAAAAAGGGGTTGAAGCAGCAATATGCTATGGAAGCTATCCTTTGGTGCGTACTGCCTATGTTGGTGTTTTGAAGACAAAGTTTTTAGTTTAATTTGCAAGCAACTTGTAAATCTGATTGGTTTTGATTATGGATGTGGTTTTTGTTTGGACGAGTATTTTGGATGACCAATGTTCCAATGTTACTATATCAACGTGTAAAAAAAAGAATTCCATTTCAGTTCATTTTTCGGTTTTTAGGCCGAAAAATCGAACCAGAAATGCGATTCCCTATTTTTGGTTTAGTTTGGATTCATAGCTTTTGGGGTACCGAAATGTCATTTCGATTTTGGTTATTTTTCCAGGCCTGTTCGGTTCCCGAATTGAATCCAACTCATGATGAGTTCCCGTATATTCAATTTTGAAAATATCATCAAGCAGTTGTCCGGATCTTGGTACATATGCTTCTCAATGTTAAAATTGAACTAAAATCGTTATTTTTAGTAACTTTTACACGGTTGTGGTTGTAACTTTAGATACGGTCATAAAACTACTCTTTTAAACTTAGGCCACAAATAAAAAATGTCAATCGATTTTATATCAGTAAATGTTCGGGACACACAAAAATGTTTCCGATGAGGCCAAAAATCATAAGATATTGGTACACATTTTCAAAAAAAAGCATTGGTGGTTTTTCGGGTAGAATCATGCCAATAACAAAAATCTTGACTGCGAAATTTGAATTTACATGCAATAAAATTTAATGATTTCAAACGAAGTAAAAATTGCATACTATACTTTTTGCACAAGTTTTCAAAATCCAATAATACATTTTCTTTGTGCTTTCTTCTTCGCGATCAAAATTATGTATATCATTAAACGTGAAGTCTTCTCAAATTTATAATCTACCAACAAAAATCAACTAAAATCATCATTCATGAAATCCAATTGATTAGCCGAAACCATAGAGAATGCACCACCATTCGCAATCTATCTGCCTAAAATTATCTTGCCGGGCTAATTGCTCCCTCGAGTTTGCCAAGAAATTGCACTTACGACACATAGTGGACATTACACTTACTATGACAAACACTAAAATCAAGCCGATTGTAATTAGAAGTCATACTTTTGTCTTTTACGGTCAAAAGAAAGGCATATTGTTCTCGTATAGTGCATGCGCAGAGTGGTGTCGACGTGTCGTGGAGTTCAGACCAGACTAGACTAGATCAGACAAGACTAGACTTTCGTAGTTATAAAATACACCGAGACCAGACACTTACCAAATCAGACTAAACCAGTTCACATCAGACCAGATCAGACTTAAATAGATCAAATCAGAATATCAAATTTTGGTCCAAGTAAAAAACATCCGTACTATATATAGGGGAGAGCTTCTCCATAGATGTGTGTGATGTCACGTTCTAATAAAAAACCTTTTGTAATGATTAATTTACAAAATGCAATAGACTGAAATGTGTTGCCACCAAAATGCTAATATCCAAACGAAATCTATGTTAAATTTACGCTCCATTTGGGGCTACAAAGTTTTGGTACTCCAAATAATAGGACAACTTTCCAATCCTTCTTTTATACGACAAAGCAAGTGAAATATTTTGTTTAGCCCTCCTTCTAACACCTTTTAGATCTACTTCATCACTGCCTCCCCATCCTCGCCCAATTCTCCCACCATCCCAATATCATCATTCACTATTCAACCACATCCTTCGTTCTCGTTCCAGCGGCCAACAATGTCGGGGGAAATACCCCCACGATGTTCGCCTATTTGATCTCCGCTTCCAGGGTGACATGCCGAAACGATGTCCAAATTTGTGGCTGACAATACCATTTTTCTTAGAAAACCCAAATATGACTCCGTTATGGCCTTATGGAGACATGGGGTCATCTGAGGTATTATGGCCAGTGGCGGATCTTGTACATAAATTTTGAAGGTTCAAATTTATTTTATAAGTTTTGGATGTTCAAATACATATATAAATTTTTACACTAGCATCCATATATATGTATTTTTACACAATTAGTTAAAAAAAATTGGGTGCTCAAATGAACATTTTTTAACATAAGGAGGTCCGCCCATGATTGTGGTACATTAATAACCACTCGTTTTTTACTGCATTCTCCCACTCAAAAAATGAATGTCATTAATATGCCACAATACTCTTATGACTTCATTTTTATAGAGTCATACGGATCTCCATAAAACATCTACAGGAAATACCACGTTTGGCCAAACCGCGAACACGTGAGTCGTAGAGAAGTCCAATTTTATCACTATAGAGACACGGCAATGCTGGTTGCTACACTTC